GACGTGAAAAGTTTGAGTGTTAAGTGCCAGATTACCCACCTGATGCGGAATATGAGGTATGAAAAATACATAAATGCCTATAATGCATAGCCTCTTTATCTACCTCAAATGGGTATATTTAGCACTCTACTTAAGAACAAATTAGTGTATTTATTAGGCATTTAAAAGAACTTTCTTGATTTTAAAGAAAAAAATAGATGCATAGAATTCATGGTTATTAAATTTCTCCGTAAGATTTTCTTAAATAAACTCTACTCTAATGCTCCATTATGTTCAGCACATAGGCAGTTGATTAAGATAATAAGCCAGGGGTGGCCAAAGTGCGGACTCCGAGGTGATAGGATCCTCGCAGGCATTGTGCAGTCATGCATTAAAACTGTAAAACTCTTAGTAAAACGGACTTGTAAAAGGAAATTCGTCCGGGATTTCTTTCTTTAAGACTCTTTCACTACTTATCGAGGTAATATGAATTGTGCTTTTTAAAATCTGGCAGCAGTCTCTTCCATGGAATTGAAACGCGGCGACCCTCTGATGGACTTGCTAAGCAATTAAAAAAAATTACTAGAACTAAATTTTGTGATTATGTTGGTCATTTTTCTTCTACCCCCTTTCCTGTCTCTTGATGATAGAAAAAAACCTCTAAAAAGCCGCTGTTTTATTTCTACTTATTCAAAAGAACCACATTTGTTTGCTAGCCTGCATTACACATGTAACAATTTAAGTTAGAATGTGCCTCTCACAAAGTTACAGAATACCTTTACAATTGCAGAGATTCGTAATGACTATATTTAGAGATTCGTAAGATAAGATAAGATAGAAAATAGTAGTAAACTTCACTAATAAATTTGCTTTCTTTGTCAAATTGTCATACATTCACTTTTTTGTTTAATAAATATAAGAAGTAAAATTTTAATGTTGAATTTTTTAAATCAAAATTTTGTTTGTTTACACCAAAAAATCAGTGCAACTTGTGGGAATTCGCGGATTATCAGAATTCTACTGTATAAAATAGGAAATATATTTTTCCAACGTCCATATCAATGTGTAAAAATCCAGATAGAACTTATTGCGTTGTCCGAAAATGCCGAATATTGGTAGTGGGTGTTCAAGGACATGTCTAAATATATCGAACAGCTGAACAAAATGACTTAAAATAAATGACAAGTGCACATTAAGACACGTCAGTGTCGTTTATATTCGTTTACGTTTACATTAACGTTTACGATATGTACACACACGTGTACATATCGTAACATGTACGTTAAGTGTATGTATCGTAAAAGATGGTGTACTTCAGGCATATTTGGAAAAAATTAGGTTTATGATATGTTAATTTTTGTCAGTTTTCAATATGGAAGAAAATAAAGTGCATTTTATGCATTTAATACTTTCTTTTATTGTAAAGGCAAAAATGTTACACAAGTGCCAAACAAGATATGCACCATTTATTGTGAAGGTGCCGTAACTGAAAGAACTGTGCAAGGATAGTTTGCAGAGTTTAAAGCCAGTGATTTCAACCTTAAAGATTAAGAACACTCAGGTAGGCCCTTCACCACAGATGAATATCAAATTAAAACACCATGTCAAAATCTACCATTTATGAGCATTTTGTGAAATTTGGCTACATAAACCGTTTTAATGTATGGGTTCCCTACGATTTAACGGAGAAAAAATCTGATGGATCGCATGTCCATTTGCGATTTCTTTATAAACACAATGAGGAGACACCATTTTTGAAGCTTGTAATGATGAGAACTGAAAAATTGATCATTTATAACAATGATCGCCAAAAAGTCGATCGCGAACTGCTAATATCTCATGGGGACATCTTCGGCAGATTGCGTTAACTATCCTCGATTCGAGGACATCTTCGGTTGCCTAACCTTGATTGCCACTGAGCTGACACTCACAACAAGACACTACTGAAGTGGAGTTGGAACTGACAGATTTTCAAAAAGATTTATCTGTAAAATCACTTTCTTCAAGCTATGAAAATACTTGGCCTCCTGTTAAGAAAAATACCCAATTTTCGTTCAGGCTTTTCTCAAAGTGAAGGCAACATTCAGCTCTGCATATCTGTGCGAGATTTGTTTTTCCAGTATGAAATTTATTAAAAAATGTACAGAAACAGACTCACTGATGAATACTTGGACAACTGTATTCGAATGGCAGCCACAATCCACTCTCCTAACATTAAAAACTTATTCAGAAGTCAAACAACAAAAATCAGCGTAAATTTACAAAATTTTCACAGGACTAGTTTCGATGGTTTTACCGAACCATCATCTTCAGCTGCAAAACCGCAATGAACAAAGATAGGAATAAGTTTAGATAGATAAGAAAGCCTGGACAAGAATAGAAAGTGGCGTCATCTGTGGGCGAAACCAGAACTAAAACATAATTTTCTCTAAAGCCGAAGGCAAATTTGATTGGAATTAGGATCGTTACTAGAACAAAAGATTTTTATGAATGTGAAATCCTCTAGAAAATCCAGTTCTCCAATGAAGATGTTTTTTTGAATAATTTTGGCAGCAGAAAAATGAAAGTGTGATTGTTCGGACCCAAATGTTGAGCAACAGAAGACTTCTGTGTTTCCTTTTTTATAACATATGCCTCATGTTCTTTGACGCGAATTTTAAGGCTCTCTTAGTTTGGCCAATGTAAATTAAACCGCAATGGCAAGGAATCCTATAAATACCAGGAATTCATATCCGGATGGGGTCCTTGAGTATAGAAGTTGGAATTTTATTGATGGGAGAGTAAACAACCTGAAAGTTAAATTTCAAAAATTGCACTTTATAGCTAATTGATTGAAAGAAGAATGAACAACAGAATTTTTTAATATCTCCTAAATTAAGAGTGTGGCTTTTAGTGTGTTGAGATTTTTTTAACTGCTTGATTAATAATGTTGGGTGAAAAGCCCCTGTCAATAGCTATTGCTTTTAAATAATTTAGTTCTTCATCAAGGGCTAGTTTGGAGGAGCAAAACTTGAAGAGCACGAAACAAAGGAATAAAATGAAGCTAACTTTTGTTTAGTCGGATGACATGATTTAAAGTGTGGTGGAAGGCAAACCGATGAGGTTTACGGTAAAACTGTAGTACTGAAGTTGGATGTGTTACGTGTGACCAGAATGTCGAGAAACGGAAGAGAATTGCAAGTCTCAAGTTCAAAAGTGAACTGAATAGCAGGATCAATAGAATTCATTGTTGAAAGAACTCTATTTAAATCATCTTTATTACCTTCAAACAGGGTAAAAGTATCGTCTACGTAGCGGAACCATGCCGGGAAGTTTAAAGTTTCAAACAATTTTGATTCATAATAATGCATGTAGATATCAGCCAGGATGGGCTTCCCGGCATGGTTCTTAAACGGTTTTGCAGCTGAAGATGATGGTTCGGTAAAACCATTGAAACTAGTCCTGTGAAAATTTTGTAAATTAACGCTGATTTTTGTTGTTTGACTTCTGAATTAGTATTTATTCGGCGTGTTATTGTGTCTTAATTAAAAAACTTGTTAATGACATAAAAAAGCTCCATTCTCCCCATTAATGTTAATCAGTCTGTTAAAAAAATGTCTGTTATTACATTTGTTATTTATTACTAACTACATTTCAACAGTGTAGTTATTCACAAGTCAATTTTAATCTCTTTTTGTTATATACAGTTTAATTAAAACTGATTTCAAATGTACTAGAAATGTAAGTTTATAAGCAAATACAGTACAAAGTCCGTAATCCGGACATTCATTATCCGCACCTCAAAGCCACAAACTTATGCGCGTCTGCTACGCATGTGCATAAAGCCAGTAAAGCGTTTACCCATGCGCGCTTCCGATAGTGAAGAAAGTAACAGAGAACGTTATTGAAAACGAAAAAATTTCGATTGACAAGTTAGTCGGTATTCTCAACACAGCAATTACAGGACTTGAACAATGGAACTTTGTAACTGAACAAGAAATTATGTATGTTTATAGAATTAAAGAGAAAGTATTAGCACATAAAATGAAGCAACTTAAACAACTTACATCGAAAGAAATGTTTACTAAAGTAAACAAATAAATATTAAACTTTTTTTTTGTAAATTTTGATACCCTTAAGATCATAATTGCTCTTTATTTCATAAATTACGGTTTCATACTTTTAATTGTATAATTTCTGCATGCCATCTTACCAGATTTAAATTGATGATCTATAATCTGGAAAAACCCCTAATCCAGAATCAAAGAAGTCCCAACGAGTTACGGACTTTGTACTGTATAAGATTTTTAAAAAGAAGCTGGTAGTTCTTTTGGGTAGCCCACAATAGATTTAAAAATGGTAAGGTGGCTTAGAAGCTTCATGAGTTTGGCGACCACTGATTTATAATAATCTTGGGAAAAGTGGAATGAACCACCATTAAGCACCCCAAAAGCGGGTCTTCATCCAAAGAAGCTCATGCTCTGTGTCTGGTGGGATTGGAAAGAGATCCTGTATTATGAACTTTTACCAAACAACAAGATGATAAATTCAGAATATTGTTTCTAATTAAATTAATTAAAGACAGCAATTAAACAAAAAGATCCAGAAATAATGAAATGGAAGGCTGTCTTTTTCATGAGGACAATGTGCGTCCTAATGTGTCTTTGATTATTCGACGAAAGTTGTTGGAGCTCATTTGAGATGTTTTACCCCTTCCATCATATTCACCAGACCTCGCATCATCTGACTTCCATTTATTTCGATCATTACAAATTTCCTTAATGGAAAAAAAGTGCAACTCTTTGGTCCAAATAAAGAAATCATCATGTAAAAACATTTTGGCTGAAAGTACTGAGAGATTCTGGAAGAATGGAATTATCAGAATTCTGAAAGATGGAGAAAGGTCATAGAACAGAATGGCACCTATATAATTTAATAAATGTGCACTAAAATTCAAATCTCTTGCATTTCAGTTTTCCTTCAAAATCGGCACAAAATTTCTGGACAACCTGATACTATTAGTTACATGAATAGCTATTTACCTGCTAGGACTGAGTTCCGTTTCCTTAGAAGCTGTAACCAAAAGAGGATGCAATCTCACACACTCAAGTAATGGCTGGAAGCACAGTTTTTAAATGGTAAGTTAACAATTTGCATATTTGGTAGTATAAATTTAGAGAAAAATGAAGTAAATGACAATCAGGTTAAGATATTTATATCATTTAATATTTTTTGCACAAAAAGATATTAATATGTTGGTAAGTTGAAAAATAAGTTTCCCCTGTCGACTGTGGTCAGAGTTGTGTATGAAAGTCAAAAAATAGAATGAGACATTAAAGATATGACATACCTTGAGTTTATTATTCTCATACGAGTACGTTGAGACATTTGTCATATTGCTTGATAAGCTTCAAAAAGTCCTCCAAGAAAAATTCACGCTTTGCATATGCAAGAAGCGTTGAACGGCTATGGGCGAAAGGCGACACAGCAGGAAAACATGCAAGTCACCGATACACCATTGGGTAGAGGTCGCTGCAAATCAAGCAGATGGCGCTGTTGCAGTGCCTGCGCAAAGCGAAGACAAGCCTCTCATTTGAGCCCCGGTAGGTATGGAGAGAAGGTGCGTTTTGAATTCGTGGTCAAAGGAGGAAGTGAGAGCGGTTATCCACTATGAATGGGCACGTGGAGTATCAGGAACAGAAATTCATAACCGCCTCGTGGAAGTCTATGGGCCAGGTGTGATGTCAAAGCAAATGGTGCAGAGATGGTGTCGCACATTCAGTGATGGACGTCAGCAAGTGGAGGACATATCGAGAGCTGGACGGATGCGCACGGCCACTATAGATGCAAATGTCAGGAAGGTGGATGACATGATTAGAGCGAACCGGCATATCACCATCGATGAAGTAGCGGAAGAACTTGGAATCTCACATGAGCGAGTTCAAAACATCATCCACGACATTCTTCGATACAGAAAAGTGTCAGCACGATGGGCGCCCCGACAATTGACCTCGACACATAAGGAATAACGCATGGGAGTCAGCCTGGAACATCTCAAGCGTTACCATGAAGATGGCAATGACTTTCTGTTTCGGATTGTGACGGGGGATGAAACGTGGGTCCACCATTTCACACCAGAATTGAAGGCCGCATCTATGGAGTGGAAACATCCGTCATGACCTGTCCGAAAGAAGTTCAAGACAACTCCTTCTGCAGGTAAAGTGCTCCTCACAGTTTTCTGGGATGCCCAAGGAGTTTTGTTGCTGGACTTTTTGGAGGTTGGAACCATCAATGCTACGCGCTACTGTGACACCCTGTCGAAATTGAAAGAGGCGATTCGGAAAAAGCGGCCTTGCCTTCTCACATCTGCCGTTCTGCTGTTGGATGACAATGCCAGACCACATTCGGCGACGGCACGCAAAACCATATTGCAACTCTTGGTTGGGAGTGCCTACTACACATCCGCCATACAGTCCTGATCTCGCACTAAGTGACTTCCATCTGTTTCCGGCTTTGAAGAAAAATCTCGGGGGAAAGGCCGCTTTGGAAGCAATACTGAAGTGAAAACAAGCCGTTCAATACTTCTTCCATATGCAAAGCCCTGATTTTTTCCTGGGGGGCTTTTTGAAGCTTATCAAGCGATATGACAAATGTCTCAATGTATTGGTACCTATGTGGAAAAACAAAAGGTATGTCATATCTTTAATGTCTCATTCTATTTTTTGACTTTCATACACAACTCTGACCACAGTCGACAGGGGAAGCTTATTTTTTAACTTACCCTCGTATTAACATTACTTCACATAAAAAGACATTATTGTATTACTTATTTTCATATATAATACACATTTTATTTGAATTTTCTAACAAATAGGTTACCTTATGTGACTATATAGTTATAATTAATAAATCATTTGATTACTTCAGCTTTAAAATTGTACTATAATTTGCAAAATTTTTAAACACAGTTATACCTTATAATCTTAGCAAACAATCATCATAAAGTTGAAATGGTAACTATGATATCAGAAAGATGAAGTGAAAAAAGTCCTCTTTTATGAAATAATAATTTTAAAAAATTAAAGCATAAACAACTAACACTTTTGTCCAAAATACTGAATGCATTGCAAAAATAAATATGGGTATAATCTCTAGTGACCATCCATAAGTCTATGCAATTTTAATTTTTAAAACCAGAAAAGAAGCATTTAATAATATGAAATCAACAGCCAGTTGCTCAATTTCATGAACAACCAATTAACAATGCATTAAAACATATAAACACAACAGTAAAAATACGCATCAAACTAGTGCAAATTATCAGGAATGATGCGTTAAGACTGAACTAAACAGCTAACATCATAAAAAAGCCATAAGGAAGCAGAAAGGTCGGTATTTTTGGAAGTGTCATTTTTAGGCAAGATACAAAATTACTCTTCGACAATCTTTTTATTTATGTTTACTTAGTATTATTACTTAATTAATCATTAGTTTTTAACAACTGCAAAATCAATAAAATCATTGTCTGTTCCTGTCCTACTGTAATTTAAATTCTTAAAATTAATATAATAAAATACAACATAACTAGGTTGTTTCGGCCACCAGAGCTCTCTGCCTGTCTGTGAGATATTATTTCATAATGCACAGATCATATGCGCAGCTCGCACTTTGTTCTGCATTCTTGCAAACGCCAATTGTAACTTTCTCACTTTACTTTTTGTTGTGATGTGTTCTAAAGCTGAAATCGCTAAAAATAAAAGTTAAACTACAGTCCACTCACAAACATGTATTCTTATGTTTATTAATTTAAATTTAAGATACCGCTAAGCTACATTAATTTGGTCGTCATACGCCAGAGGTTTCAAAAAGCCACGCTTGTGAATAAGAATTCTACGTCTTCATAATAGTGTTGATAATGCACTTTAGAATTCTCAAGAGTTGCGCAATGGATGCAGTGTTCGAGGTGAGTGAAATAGTTATAACGTATTTTAATTGCATTTGACATTTCCTTATTGCTACTTATTGTAATTAAAGTATTGGTAAAATCGAGAATTTAGAATATTTTCAAAATGTCAGATATAGAAAAAAAAGAAAGAGAGTTTTGAAAACACAGTTAACGAAATTCATTGAGAAAACAGATTATGATAACATAGATAATGCTGAAGCTGAATTAATCTTAGAAAAATGTAAAATCTTTAAGGAAGATTTTAAATCTCTATTTAAAAAAATTTATACAAATTGAAATGATGATAAAATAGACACTTTTGTTGAGGAAGAAGAGTCGATTTTAGAGAAAATTGAGGAGGTTCACTTAAAAATTGTTCGTAAGTTAAAGATTTACAAGGTCGTAAATGCAAATGGCGACAAACCTGTCGTGCCTGAATCAATCTCTGAAAGTTTAAAGTTACCAAAATTATCCTTTACTCACATTTAGCGGAAATTTAATAGAATGGATAACATTTAAAGATTTATTTAACGCTAGTGTTCGCAACAATCCAAATCTTTCTGGAGCTAAAAAATTACAATATTTAAAGAGTTTTTTGAAAAATGATGCTTATCGCATTATTCAGTCAATTCCCATAGCTGATCAAAATTTCAGTATTGCTTGGAATTTACTAGAAGAGAGATTTTCTAATAAAAGAGAACAGATATTTGCTTTTATTAAAAGAATTCTTAACGTTTCACAAATACAAACGGAATCTGCATCCTCGATATTTAGTAGATAATGTAAACAAAATAAGTCGAGCATTGGAAATATTAGATCAAAAGATAGATCATTTTAGTGATACTTTGTTGATTGTATATTATTTTGCAAAAACTTGATGTTTCAACAAAGTTGTGGTGGGAGCGTCAATTAAAAAAAAGACGAAATACCAAAGTTGAATGACTTGAATAGAATTTTTTGAAGAATTACGCTAGAACATTACAGAACAGTAAACCTTTAATTAGTAAAACGCATAAATCAGATAAACCAGTGTATAACAGGGTTTACTTCTCTGATTACTAATTCTATTTGTTTATTTTGTAAAGAAGATCATTTTTTACACAGGTGTTCTAATTTTTTTAATTTACCAGTGCAAAAAACGAATAGAGTTTGTTAAGACTAATAAACTTTGTTTTAATTGCTTGTCTAATGTCCATAAAGTTTAAAATGTGTAAGAGTGCAAACACCTGCAAGCTTTGTTTTAAGCATCATCATAGCATTTTGCATTTAGAAAATAATTTCAAACCAAAAAATGCATCTTCATTCCTTTCACCAGAAGCACAAGTGTTTGTTCCGAAATCACAAATTAAAACAGAAAACGACTTGAGTGAGGTTTCTCCAACTGTTTGTGCAAACAACTATGAAAATCACCATTTTGGAGCTCTTGCTAATGGTAAACGTAGTCATGAACTTTTGTGTACTGCTTTAATTAAGGTTCAAAACTCAAAAAAATAAATTCATAAATTGTAGATGTTTACTAGATTCAGGTAGTGAAAAATCATTCATTCGTCGGAAAACAGCTATCAATTTAGGATTGAGCGTAAAGGATTCGAAGATATTAGTGTCATGCTTAGGTACTTTCGATACAACTACTACTGGAGAAGTTGACTTGTTGTTTACATCTCATTTTAATACTAGTTACAGAATTTTAATGTCCGCTTACATAATAGAAAAAATTACAGGAAACATTCCAAGTGTAACATTACCTTTGAATTTATATGAAAGCTTTCCAAGATTTAACTTTAGCAGATCCTACATTTCATGAATCGGGAGAATCGGGAAGAAATTGATATTTTGCTTGGAGTTAACGTATTCCTTTTTAATCAAATGGCGAAGGTAATTAAAAGGGGCAAAAATCTTCCATTTGCATTTTGTTCTAAGTTAGGATGGGTAATTGCTGGAACTACACATTTTGAATTCCCAAACCGTAAGCAGGTTTCAGTCAATACGCTAAACGTAAACACGGAGGAATTAGTTAAATCATTTTGGGATTTGGAACAAATTCCCACATCGAAACCTTTAACTAAAGAGGAAAGATTGTGTGAAAACCATTTCGTGGAAAATCACGTCCGTAGTGAAAATGGTCGTTACTCAGTAAAACTGCCATTCAAGCCTAAAAGAAATGAGTTAGGGTAATTCCAGACCATCAGCCTTTCACAACTTTCTTAGTCTGGAACAAAAACTAATAAAAACTCCTGAAGTAAATCAACAATATAAAGACTTCATGTCCGAATATTTATCACTTGGACACATGGAAGAATTATCCTATGATAATCGAGATTTCATTATTATTTACCTCATCATCACGTGCTAAAGGAATCAAGTCTTACCACAAGACTATGCGTCGTTTTCAATGCTAGTGCCAAAACTACATCAGGGATATCGCTTAATGACACGCTAATGAATGGTCCCAAGGTACAAGACGACTTATTTACTATTCTTTTGAGGTTTAGATGCTATCTCATAGCCATCACTAGCGACTTATTGAAAATGTATCGACAAGTTCAAATTCATGATGAAGATCGCGATTACCAAAAAATATTTTGGAGAGATGATCCATCGAAGCCGATTAAAACTTACAGGTTGTGCACAGTTAAGTATGGCACTACTTCAGTTTCCTACCTGGCTACTCGTGTACTCAAACAACTAACAATTGACGAAGGAGCTAAATTCCCAAAGGCAGCTGAAATAATATTACACAATTGTTATGCTGATGATGTCCTATTTGGTTCAGACACAGTAGAGAGAATGCGCAGTAGAGTTAATTTCACAACTGAGTGAACTTTTACAAAAAGGTGGCTTTCAATTGCATAAATGGTGTACAAATAATCGCTCGATTTTGGAAACTGCTTTGAGTGCTCAGAAAGCTCAATTCTTCATGTACAGTAGTTGATACTAAATCAATAAAATTATTGGGTTTGGAGTGGTATCCAACGCAAGACGAGTTTACTTGTCACTTTGAAAATCTCGAAAATAGAAACGAAAAAAAAAAAAAAAAAAAAAAAAAAAAAAAACAAAAAAAAAAAAAATAAAAAAAAAAAAAAAAAAAAAAGAAAAAAAAAAAAACTAATTTTAAAAAAAAAATAAAAACCAAAAAAAAAAAAAAAAAAAAAAAAAAAAAAAAAGATTTTGTCTTCTATTTCGAAAATCTTTGATCCACTTGGTTGGTTAGCACCTTTCATAATTGCAGCAAAAATCTTGCTTCAAGATATATGGAAATTACAAATCTCGTGGGATGATCCCTTGCCAGATGAAATCAATCAAAGATGGAAAATCCTATTGTGAAGATATCGCAAATCTTGAATGCATTCATATTCCTAGGAGAGTATTATTGCCCAAATGCCTACAAATGTAGAACTTCATTGTTTCTGTGATGCATCAGAGAAAGCTTACACCACAGTGATCTGTTTAAAGTCTTCAAATCATTCTTCAGTTTCGTTTCAGTTACTAACATCAAAAACTCGTGTAGCTCCCCTGAAAGTAATTTCTGTTCCTCGTTTAGAACTCTGCTCTGCAGTTCTATTAGTGCATTTGGTTCAAGCTGTGCAGAATTCATTGCAAATTTAAGTTGACGATATTTACGCATGGAGTGATTCAATGATAGTTTTGTCATGGATACAATCAGAACCCACACGCTGGCAAACCTTCCTAGCCAACCACGTTTCAGAAATTCAATCAGTCTTACCACATCGCATTGGAATCACATAAAAGGGAAGGAGAATCCAGCTGATTGTGCATCAAGAGGTCTTTTGCCTTCAGAGCTTTCTACTCATGACTTGTGGTAGACAGGTCCTCAGTGGCTTGATTCAAATAATATTCTGTTTTCTATCAACTTACCATTTTCAGAAGAGTCTTTAAAGGAACAACGTAAAAATGTTTCTTGTTCAATTGGAACAGTCGCTTCACAAATTCCAGTCTTTAATGAAGTTTCATCATTCTTAAAACTTAAAAGAATCATCGCATGGTGTTTTCGGTTTGCGAATAATTCAGGTAAATCTACCATAACAAGTATTAAGGGTTACCTTAAAACCGAAGAATTGCAATACGCTAGGAAATGCAATTGTTAGAGTAGTTCAAAGGGATGAGTTTTTTAATGAATATAATCTTCTGAATAAGAACCAACCGTTAAACTCAAATAGTAAGATCCTTTCTTTGAACCCCTTTATCGATAAGAATGGACTTATACGCGTCGGAGGAAGATTAAGACAATCCAACATCGCGCAGGACAGAAAATATCCTATTTTGTTGCCCAAGAAACATCACATAACACAGATTATAGTGAATCATTTTCATGAATCCCATCTTCATGCTGGCCCCCTGCTATTGCTATCAGTAATTAGAAGAGAATATTGGATAATCCACGCTAGGTCAGTTGTAAGACAACAGATTTGGAAATGTGTGAAATGTCATCGTGTACGAGCTAAAACATCTACTCAGATAATGTCTGATTTACCATCATCTAGAGTCGTTACGTCAAAGGTTTTCTCCAAGGTTGGAATTGACTACACCGGACCATTTCAAGTGAAGCCCAGGCAAGGTCGAGGAGTAAAACAAATGAAATGCTACATTTGTGTATTCGTGTGTTTTACTACAAGAGCTTTACATACTTGAAATTAGTAGGTAATCTAACATCAGAATCATTTACTTGCCGCTTTGAAGCACTTTGTATCTCGAAGAGGAAAACCAATAGAAGTGCATAGCGATTGTGGCACAAATTTTATTGCTGCAGATAAGGAATTGAAAAGACTAATAAATTCCTTGAAGGAAAATGAATTTGGTTAATAAGTATTGCTCTACTGAAGGTGTTAAGTGGATATTTAATCCTCCCGCAGCGCCACATTTTGCAGGAATATGGGAAGCTGCATTAAAATCTACAAAGTTACATCTCAAGCGAACCATAGGTGAACAACTTCCACGCAAGAAGAATTTACGACATTGCTAGCTCAAATTGAAGCTTGTTTAAATTCACGACCTTTGTGTCCACTGTCTGAAGATCCATCAGAATTTTCTGCACTTACGCCAGGCCATTTTTTAATTGGTACCCCGCTAACTGCCTTACCAGAAGAAAGTTTACACGATCAAAAAATTCCCATATTGCAACGTTGGAAGCTTGTTGAGAAAATGTTTCAAAGCTTTTGGAAAAGATGGTCCAATGAATACATTTCTAATTTGCAACGACGTTCAAAATGGTTTAAAGTACAAACTAATTTAAAGATTAATGATTTAGTTATCATAAAGGAAGACAATTTACCCCCCCCCCTATGATGGAAATTAGGAAGAGTGCTGGAAGTTTTTCCTAGCTCAGACAATATTGTGCATATCGTGAAGCTCAAAACTGCTAATGGTGTTTTCAAAAGGCCAATTCACAAACTTAGTGTTTTGCCTATCAGTGATTAAATTCCCCCCCCTAAAGCATTATAACATTATACTTTGCTTTAACTATAATTAAGTTCCTGAATTGTATCAAGGCTTCTGTGCATCTGTTTTGAGAACAATTTAGTTTCATTTCATATTATGTTTTCCTGTGAATATTTTAATGACACATTTTTGCATAATTTAATATTGTTATGAAATTTCATTTTTTAAAAGCTATTTAAATTTGAAACGATGTTTCAACACCAGGCGGAATGTTTCGGCCACCAGAGCTCTCTGCCTGTCTGCGAGATATTATTTCGCAATGTGCAGATGGTATGCGCAGCTCGCACTTTGTTCTTGCATTCTTTCAAACGCTAATTGTAACTTTCTCGCTTTACTTTTTGCTGTGTTGTGTTCTAAAGCTGAAATCGCTAAAAATAAAAAATTAAACTACAGTCCACTCGCAAAGATGTATTCTTATGTTTATTAATTTAAATTTAATAATGATGGAGTTTGTTTGTTTTAACGATTTAAAAAAAAAATATTCGATATTTGGTAACTGACTTTATATTTACCATATGGATTGAAGGAAGCCAAATTCTACTATAAGTTATAATCTATGGAAGAAAAAAGAAAGCCGTTGAATCATTTATTGGTTTCCTGAAACAAAAGATAAAATTGCCTAGAATATTAAAGTTATGGTTTGCAGTAATGAAATAATTTTTTTTAATTTAATTAACAATCATTTGAAAAATTAAAATTTATAAAAAATTTGAATGGCTGACCTGATATTCAAACTTGCAGAAGACAAGTGCAATGACACCTCACTGACCTACTGGCATTCAAAGATGCCTCAAAGAATGTTTGGAAAAGCAGAATTTGTCCAAATGTGCAAATCATACATAAAATATGGCAAACATATACATACATATTTGTTGTTGCTGTAGATTATGTTACCTTTTTCAAAACAGTGAGTGTCAATTCACATTCTGTTCTTTTCCCTTCATCCCACAACTGTGATATTATTTCAATCACTGGTCAAAGTGTCAAGCATGCAGTAGAAATAAACAGAATGAATGCATTAGGAAATGTAGTTGAGTTTAACAAAAAATTTTTTCAAAATATTTAGTGCTGAGAGCATTTAAGTAATAAGGATGAAATCAGATTCTGATATGCTATTTGTTGTTTACTTTTTCTTCTTGGTTTGTAGTATTCTGCCCTTCTAGAAATTAATCAGATCTTTCCCCAAAATCACAGAATTAAATACACAAGAAAGTTAAATAAAACTGGAGGCTTTTAAAGTACATTTCATTAAACATAGAATAAAATTAATTAACATTTCAGGAATTTACATTAAAGGAACATGAGGTAATCAAAGTATTCTCATAGATTGTGAGACAGGTTTGGTTTATTTGATTATGCACACAAGGACTATCCGCCTAATGGAAGTGATGCCTTCGTGTAGGAATTTCTAGAGCAAACTGATATCTGAGTTACACATAGGGAAAACCACAAAGAGTTTCCTACGTAAGAAGTTACTGAAAATTGCATATAAAATTATCCAGAAATGAGGTCTTGCAATATCATACTGTGTAGAGAATAGCAAATCCATTATAATTCAGACTTCAACAATATTGTCAATGACTTAGCTAATAATAATAAGAAATAAGAAAAGTAACATTTTAGAACACTTCACTAAGATAAACTTAAAACATTAGTAGACTTTAAAAATAAAAAAATGTTTTAATTTATTCCCCTGCATGTCATTTTAACATTTTGTTATGCGTTTGATGAGGACTGAGAATGGCAGAAAATTCACGGAACATCTCAAACAGAACTCTAGCTCATCACTGTCATCCAGGAATAAGCTTAAAAAATACACATTTTCCCCTACAATTTAAAATCCAAAAGATAGAAATGATGCAAGAAAATATTATAAACATATGCAATAGACTACAAAATTATACATATTTCTCATCACAGATTGGCACATATACAATTCCATTAGCTTCATCTTTTATCTTAGTTAATCTTATGGCTAAAAAAATTAAAATATCTTAAAAGGCCAAAAATTCATTAATTAGATGTGAGCATATTGATAGGTCCATGTCTATACACATAAAGACAGACTGAAATAAAATATGCATAATAATAAAAACTGGACCCATTATTACATACACCACAAAAGTCCTTACCAAGCTATTATTTTTGCAACTGTTCGTCACAAACATATACTTTTAATTACAAATGTTTTTAAATGATGCAAAGATTCTCCGTGTTTTGGCATTTTTAAATTTAAAAATTACATACTCAGTTTTAAAAAATTACAAAACTATCTCTTATATAGTTCCCAATATTTATATTTATATCATGTAGTTATCAAAAATAATGTTCCAACTCCAAAAATACTTTTTTAAGATCAGATGCATTGCTTGTGGTAAATGTTAAAGGTAATAAATTTTAGTTATTCTTTATCAATAGTTTAAAAAAAAAAAAAAAAAAAAAAGATTATTTACTAACAAAATAATTTTCTAAGCACTAAGCACTATTTATTTCAACACCTTTTATAGCTTTGAAAATAATATGTGTAACACTTCTTTTGAATAATATTCTCGGATACTTCAATTTGTAGCTTTGAATATTCTCTGATACATGAATATTAATTCTGATTTTAGATTACTGAATGTGTTATTTTTAATTATAGCTTAATATAAACTGACAAAGATATGATTAAAAACTTATATACCTTGATAACTAAAGAGAATATCCTAAAAGTTTCTTCATTACTGTCTCTACCTCCATAATATGAGCGTAGATATGCTAAGAAATTACAAGGAAACATGCCATACAAGTGATGAAATAAAGAATATACTCCAACTTGAAGATGTAACATGTATATATCCTGAACAGAATCTGAAACAAATATTTATATTCCTAAACATATCAATATGTTTAAACATAAAGCATGATTATAAATACCATCTCCATTTAACCCATTCAGGACTGCGGTCACACAATTCTTCTTTCACTGCCCATGGTATCATATATGTAATCATCCTTTCTATGTCTTGAAGCCCATGATAGTAGTAGTGTGATTTCAAATTGGAGCATTTTATTCAAGTTTTTAAATGATACTAGATAGCAGTTGAAGTGAGTAAGCTTTTCAAATAATGTTCCACAAAATTTTCACCTTCAATAGCTCTTTTTTTTATTATTATTGGTGTAATTTGAACATGTAAACAACTCCACAAAAGACTGTGTTTTATAAAGCGCTGGATTTTTATTTATATTTTGACAAACTCAAGAAGATAATAATCAAAAAGAGTTTATTAAAAAAAATGGCAAGTTAAATTACTAGGAATGCAAAATGCAAAACTTTTTCCCGAACAATGCTCTTATATTTTATTATATGCAATATACTAATACTTTATTTACATTTTGAATACTTCTAGTAGGGTTTATCAAATTTTTGTCACTTATATACACTGTCGGAAAAAATGGACAGGTAATTTTTTTAATTTGCCAAAAAACTACTAAACAAGCACAAGGTAGATAATTACACACTAAAAGGACTCTATAAATGCGAATAGTTCATTCATTTCATTACATTTATTATTTCATTATTTGGGCATGTCATGTAGTTTTACTAGTAAATTGTTCCTTTTACAATGCCCATTTCCCCCCTGGGAAAGTGTACATATATATATATATATATCATTAAAATAAAACCATTTTCTTTAAAATTTGCACTTTTTTTAACATCACAAAAATTTTATTACAGTATATTCAGGTAATATTAATGATAATAAAATGCAAATTTTGTTATATTTAATTACAGTAATGATTTTAAATGAAATTAGGCTTAACGAGAAAATCACTGGTTCTCTGCATACAAATACTTTCAAAGCGCAAGGACCTGGGGAAGTGCTTCTGTCTCTTTTTACAAGTTCTGAATGGGTTAAAAGCATCTCTAAAGATAATTAACGGCTAATACTGAACTATGTTATTTAAGTTTCAGTGACAGGAAAAATGCAAAAAACAATTTCAGGCAAATGGAATCTGGCAATGTACAATTAAAGGGTTATATGTACCTAAGAATAATAGCAATAGTTTAGACAACATAATAATATGAGATGCAGCAGATGTTGAAATGAAAAGTTTCATAAATTTCACTTTACTTAAACCGTCTTTTTTAGAAAACTGAATCAATAAAATAATGCTATTAATCCCTCAAGTGGCATGACTGCCTTTAACTGAGATTTTTTGTTATTTGGTATATGTTAGCTTATAATTTAAATTATTTTTTCTTAATTTCTTTAATGATATAAATATCATTTTAATAAATGAAAGTTTAGACTTACTAAATTATATTATTTACAAATTTAGCTATTAGACGATGTTTAAATATAGTTCATATATAAATTTCTTCATGAGCAGATCAAAGAAGCTGGGTCATTTGGAAGATTAAGCTACATAAATTTCAAAATTATTCTGAGGAAGAAAATGATGCTTATACCTAGTTGTTGAATGTTGACATGTCCATTAATAATTGCAGGAGAGACTAGAACACCTGTTACCACTGTTATAACTGTGGAAACCAATGATGAAAGAATAAATTTCCTTACCTACATCTTCATTCGACTTTTAAATATCTCAGAAAAAGAAATTTAATGTTTTTCTATACACTACTTACAGTACAACAGATTTCAAATGCCTTACTGCAGTATCAGAGATATCAATACATAAAAAATCTCTAAACCCATAATAAGCTTTGTTACATAGTTATAGATTAAGCCACCAGGTGTTATTTTTCTTTGCAAAGTGAATTGCACTAATAAGTGTACCTAAACATGCTGAAACAAATTACAGGAATATAACAATTATTCCCAATTACAGGAAGATAGAAAAATTATTTTTAACAAGATGGGACACATTTTCATGAAGGCATTTGCACTTAGCTCAATGCAGAACTTTCTAATCATTGTACTGGCACATGTATTATCAAGATTGCTTACATTTGAAGCCTCCATACTCTCCTGACTACTTCACACGATATATTCTTCTGAGCTTATACTACAGATTGTGTGTTTGTGTACCTTCCGGCATATGATTTAGTACAACTGCAAGAGAGGATTCTGCATGCAGTCATTGGTATCAATTGCTCACATGTTGTGACATGTGTGACAAAAACCTGAATTTAAGATACAAATCAATAGAGATATACATATGAGGCATTTGTCAGGAGTACGGAAAAATCGGACAGATTCTTAGTGCACTGATATGACACTTTTTATTACATTTGTTACAGGTAATGAGCTATAAACTTTTAAACTCCCAGGAGCAAATTATGAGTCACTTTACAAACTAAAATGAAAAAAAAATCTATCCCTTACCCAAAATTCAAACCTCAGCTTTTTTGAGCCTCTATTATCCTCAAGGTTATAAACGCATGTACTATGGTAAATAACGTACCTCAACAATATAGTGGTTTTAGCTCCAGTGAAAATGTGATTAAAATGCATTTTGAAAGAACATATTCCTCTTTTTCTATAGTTACAAGAATCTGCTGTTATCTTATGCATACAGTATTAAAATATTACAGACAGAATATAGCTACATTTTAGATCAGTACATATTTTGATTTAAACAATAAAATTTTGTTAATAAAGTAAAGCAGTTATGTATTCTTAAAAATCTATCATTTCTTTTCTTGAAAATAATAATAATAATATATTCAAAAATCACTGTCAGTTACCCCCACCACCACCACCACCACCACACAAAAAAAATTTGCTTGATGCTAGAATCATTTAAACAGTAGATGCTGTGTCACACATTATAAATGTATACAAGTATGGAAGAATACACTATGGCATTTTTACCTATAACTTAATAGTGATCTGTATATAAATCTTAGATGACAAAGTAACAAACTGAATTAATTTTGTAAAATAAAACAGCAAGTTTTCCTCTGTGTTTAAAAGTAATCTAAGAAAAATTTAATTTTAAATTTTGGGGAGAAAGAAGGCAGCAAAATACTTTCACCAAAGTTTTACTTCCTCATTAAATATGCCTTCTGGCTCCATAAAATGCAATAGCTTATAAAAAATTACTTGCAAATGCAATGATTCTGAGATAAATGATTTAACATATTATACTGGGTGTCAAAATTATTTGTTTTGAAAGATGCAATTAAATTAAATAATTTTGCACGAATATGATTTGCATTCTATGTAAAAATTTCCTTATGTAAATAATTTTTTTCTCATTTTCGGAAGCTTTTCCTAGATTTATATGCAGTCAAGTTAGCAAGAATCATTTGTATTATTCAAGAAATTACTGTACACATTTTGCAACAGCATTTGAGGTAAATTTAACATAAATTCATTCAGACAACTTTCATTTATTACATTTATGTCAAAATTTTTCTTTTTATTTCTTGAATACTCTATTAGTTTCTAATAAAAATCTTTTTAAAATGCTTATTAATCTTTAATAGAAATCCTTTTATTGCAAAGCATACATTACGCTCATGCGCATTCTTCACAACAAAAAAAAAAGTTTGTGGCTTTGAGGTCCGGATTATAGATCATTCCGGATAATGGACACCCGGATTACAGACTTTGTACTGTAATAATTAAAATACTAATTATGCTATAATGGCTTCAATTACACATATAAAGCAAAAATCCATACATACTAGGTTTCCGGACATTCCAAGCTGCTAGTCTAGAAAATATATCAAAAGTTTCATTCAAGAAAGGCCCAAACTGGGAAGGAATCATCGGCAAAAGACAGATGAGGCAAAAGATACCACTCATCAGATTAGGAGCAGATATATCTGTCTGAAATGATATACCAAAAAATAAATCTAAATAAAAGTCAGACAATTTGTACTAAAAGACCAAAATTCCACAGTTTGGGACCTGAAATTGTGCATATTTTACAGTTTTACAAATTATATGTTCTAAATAAAAACTCATTAGCTTTTGATTGCCAAATAAAGATGAACAAAATAAATTCATAAAAATATATAGAAGAGTTTCTCTTAATTTTTTTACACAGAAATGTATATTAAATGCATTATAATTTTAAATAAAAAGAAAAAGCACATAAAAGTAATCCTTTATATTTTACAAATATCAATTAACAACAGTTTAAGACTTTAAATATGCTAATCTGAATTCCCCCTATGCAGTCATTAATTCTTGATCAACAAAGTTCAGTCATTCTACTTTCATTTTCCCTATTACTTATTAATAACTTGCCGTTCTGATACAAAATAATAACTTTACTCCAAATCATAATAAAAGTAACAATTGTGATATTTTTTTGCTAATGGACCTGGAATAGCAAAATAAACTTAATTTTAGTACCCACCACTTCACTTCTGTTTTAAAGGAAATAAGAGTTTATTAAATGGTCGAGTTTAACAGATGGCGATTTGTGTATTGCAAATCATAATATCAGTTTTACACTTTTCAAACAAAATTATAACTAACAACTAAATTAATAATAAATCCTACAGCAATTATTAAAAATTAATGTTAAAAGCAAGCTATTTACACAGTTTGAATATTCCTTTTTGCTTCCTTGTATGAAGTAAAGGAAGTATTGTAATCATGAAAAATTCCGGATATCATATTTCAACAAAAATATCCATTTTGACAGCTATCGAATAAATTTAACAATGTTTTTGCGTGACATCTGTACGTAAGGATAGAATAAAGAACTCTTTTTTCCCAAACGAATTATAAAACCGATTTAAAATGGATTCAGAAGAGATCTTTTCATGGCATACGAACATATGTATATATGTATGTATCTCACATAACTCAAAAACGAGTAACCACAAAACATTAAAATTTTGTATATATATAACATGTAGGAGTGCACCTCCCTTTTTGGTTGCAATCGGCTGCATGAAAAGTATATAAATATGTATATATCCTTCTGTTACCCTGCTCCATGTGCTCAGTTTCTTTTATTCTTTAAGTTGGTAAATCGCACATTTTTTGCTTTAAAAATCATTGAATTACATTATTCTTATCTTTTGGTTAAGGTTCTTATGCCTTTAGTAAATCTGCATGCAATAATTGTAGAATTATCAACCATTTAATGTTTAAGTGCAGTTAAGTCTAATTTTTCTTACCACAGCAGCCATATTTGTTTACATTTGAAGCTTAGCAGCATAGTGAAAGTCTTTCTGCATCTTCAGTGTCTTTTTTCCCAATCTGCAACCAAAAGTAAACTTTTGGTTTTGTGCACCGAAAAATCTGCCTTCTTGCCTGCTGGCCGAATTGCTTGTTTTTGTGCAGAAATGCTAATTTTAATTGTAAAAACTGTTTTTTTAATTGTTTTTAGTGTATTTGATGTTTTATATTTTTCTGTATCTTTCAGTTTTTAATGAAGGTATTTTGAGTTTTTATGTGTTTTTGTCTTAAGTGAAGTGAGAACTGAATTAATTGAATGAGAAATATATCTCTAATTAAATTCGAGGAAATAAGTTGTAGAGACATTAGGTAAATTGGAAAAACCGGATTGGTCCACCGGATTGCGTGGGTGGTGAGAAGGTCTCGTACTGTGAGACACAGGGTCCCATTGTGACGGAATGCCTGGGTATGTCATACTAGACACACTTTTCATCGCTGGTGAGTACTCAATCAAATACGGATGCATTGCAGTACCGAGCAAGCAATGACAAATAGGCAGCGACTCACTGTTGCTTGTTTGCATCAGGCAGTGAGTGGGTACCCACTTGCTCAGCTTGTATGCCTTTTCTATGTAGTGCAAAGGGAGTCTGATCATTTCATCAGATACCTGGAAGTGTACAGCAAGCTCACCACAAGTTTGGCTACTGTCACTCTCTATGGCTGCTCTCAGGGCCTCATCCCCCAGTTCTTATGGCTGACCACTGTGTGGTGCATCACTAAGAGCCATATTCCTTTACCTGAACTTCTGGAACCATTGCCGAGCGGTTTGTTCGTTAACAGCATCATCTCCAGACACCTGGCAAATTTGATGACTTCATTTTGCTGCTGACAGGCCCACTTTAAAATTATACAGAAAAAAACTCCGAACGAGAGCCTTTGACATGTCCATTTCAATCAGTCGCTGTTTGAGTTATGTTTGAAGTACTAATGCAACACGCTTTTATACTCTTGGTCAACGTCCGGACTCCTATCCTAATCACTTCACCGCCAGGTCTGGCGACTATTTTTATGTTGGGGGTTCACTCTTACAATGTCATATCAGAAACGGTAAGAACTTTTTTGGTTACCTTGTATAAAAACATATATTTACATGTACTCAAATATGTGGGTAGTATATGCAGGATTGAATGACTATAGTCACATGAATGCTTGAAAATAAATTTGGAAATTCTATTATATACTGAAACCAGGGACTGCAAATAACCAGAAACTTTTTTTTTAAAAGGTTAAAAATAGTCATGATAGAAGGGGAGCTAAAGAATAGAGTAATTTTCTTTCAATAAATCCAAAACTTTAATTTTGGCACTTTTTGCAGTGTTAGTAATCCAACTGTCATGTGCAAGATGGCTAAATTTGTATAAGAATCCAATTTATAGAAATCACTGCTGTGGAGTTCTTTTAAACAATACATTTAATTTTTTCTCAAACTAAAGAGCATAATTTTTTTTTAATAATTTCATTAGTGGATATACTTTTACATAAAATTCATTGATGCCATTTTACAAAAGGAGTTTCCTAAAAATCACTTAACATTCATCATTTTATAACTAACAAAAATTACTTACTTTTAATACTTGAAGAAGGGTACTTATTACTTTGTGATTGGCAATTCTATGTAACCATGATGGTTGGTTATATACAAGATTGCAAAGAAGCTGAAGAGCCTGATAACGGGTACTCTCATTTTTCATCAACTCATTAATTTTGTCAAACAGATGCTAAAAAATTAAAATAAGAGAATTAATATTTCTCATCTTAAACAGCTAAAAATTTTTTCCCTAAAACATATTAAAAAATTGTAACATTTTAGGTCAAATTTATATATACTTGTAGCACTGATCTCAATTACTCAATTTAATCCAGGTTAAGAACAGTATATCTAGAATGTTCAAAAGTATAAGACATGAAATCGTACCTACTTTTGACATTGCTTACATAAATATAAATGTAATTTTCTTCTACTGGGCTATTTTGAGCCAGATGTTAAAAATAAATATGAAACAATTTGGAATAATAAATGCTAATTGAGAATTACCACTAAAAACATTTACTGGGAAACAAAAATAATCAGTAATGCATTTTTATAATAAACTGATTTATATTAATCCAGAAATAACTTGAAAAAATTACAATAACTTAGTAATGATTCTTCCTACTGCATGAAAATTAGTTCCAGATGCACCAATTTATGAAAAAATACTGAAAGAAGGTATTATTTCCAACTCAGAATACACATAAAAAATTGTTTAATATGAATGACAATGAGATATTTATTGCTTAATAACCAATAAAAGAGAACTACTCATTAATCTGAAATAAATCAAAATCAGATATGGCATTATAGATAAACATGAGTTCATTGGGTATCTACATCTCATAGATTCAGTTTTCTAATGTAGGTTCCAAATAAAAACATATAAATGCACATGTACTCAAATATGTATGTACTAAAAATTATATACTGATCATCAAAATTAAACGGTAATGAGAAAAAAATATGTTCACTAAATTAATTTTGCAACCAATGCCCAATGCTGTAATTACTTATGTTCATAATTAAATACAACTGCACAAAACTGCACTTCCGTGCATATGTTAGAGCTGGAAATATGCAAATTTGATGATTGATGATGTGGGCACAATGGATGCATTTTGGAATTCTGGTATGTGGGAAGAACTAGTTAAAAAGTTTTGTTTACTTGAAAGATTGGCCGATGCAGATTTGACCTTCCTCAATTTGCAGGCCTAAATTATGGAAACAAAAGTAGGTCAGAAAGTAATGCTTTCAAACACAAGAAATGAGGTAGAAAATTGCCTAAGCATGAGCCAAGCTACAAATGGGACTTACATAGAGGTGTACTAAAACTTATTAAGTTCTTTTAACCACATTGCAATAAATATTTTAATTTTGAACATATGCATAATTTTTTCATCTTTTTTTCCTCATGCACCCTTATATGTACAATACGTTTAGGTTACAGTGTAACTGCTGATTCATACCAAGCTTAACAAATAACAGAGTAATGGACTAGAAGAGAAACACGCTAATGTGACAATCAAAATCGTAAAAACAACTTTATATTTAGCGTAGGTATAATGAAACACTCAATCGATTTCGAGGGCAGCTAAAGGTCCCTCCTCATCAGGAGAAAGAACATACATAGAAAGAGAAAATAGGAATCACAAGAAACAATTGGTGCTTATCAGCACTGACGTGGTTATAATTATATTTTATAAAGTTCACTGGCAGCCCTACTTTTACTGAGCCAGGCTGTCTGATCAAGCATAAGAAATTAGCGAAGTTAAAATAGGGAGATAATAATGATTATTTGAAGTTAGATTTTGATCGTAATGTGCATTTGCCCTCCGCTCCTATTTTAACTTCGCTAATATTCTTTATGCTTGATCCGACACCTGGCTCAGTAAAAGTAGCGGCCAGTGCAACTCTGATTAAAAATCTAATATAAATGTGCATGTGAAAGCCCACTGTTTCTGTGATTCCTATTTTCTTCTTTCTCCTGATGAGGAGGGACCTTTAGCTGCCCTCGAAATCGATTGAGTGTTTCATTATACCTACGCTAAATATAAGGTTGTTTTTTACGATTTTGATTAACAGAGTAATTTCAATAGGAAAACACTTATGTAAGAAATTCTCAAAACCTGATACACAGTGTGGGATATCCTTAACACTTAGTTCTATCCAGGAATTTAACTCTGGGAGAAAGCTTATAAATGTTCTAAAGAAATAACGGCATTAACTCCTATATACACAATTGATGCATATGAACAACATAGAATATGGCTGTCAGATCTGCTTTGCAACAGGAGTAATGACAGTCTATAGAAGTAAAATACTTTTACATGCATATTGGTTCATAATGGACTGAATGCACACAGAACCAATGATAGCTTAATAAAATTTATTCTCACAAATGAAAAACTTTACAGTTCTGGAAACTTTCCACAAAAGTTTGCTCTTTAGTATGGCTGAGCACAATCAGTAGTTACAACTTCAAATTACTAACAACGTTAAACACAGGGCACTGCAAAGCGCATGTAAAGAGTAAAATTCGCATGGAGATCGATCAATACTCCAAAGTCAACTCTGAACTAAAAACTTCGAAATCATTCTCTCTCCGTGCTTATATAGTTTTCCACCGGCTACCCAGAAATCTCTAATAATTTTCATTTCTTATAATTACCAGAATGCATATTCAGTTAAAGGTTACTATTCTGGTATCAGAACCGAATTTTTAAAAAATTCGCATTTTTTAAAAAAAAAAAGCATTTATGCATACAAGAATATATGTGTTCTTGTATCCACGTATATGCATACATACATATGTATGTGTGTATACATACATATGCATGTATGTATTCATACATATGCATACATACATAATTTTCTGAATATGGTCCTGATAACAGAAAAGATCAGTTGACAGACAGACAAAGACAGATGTCTTGTTTTGCACCCGCTAAGTCTTTCTGCACCGATGGGCGAAAAATCAAGCATAGGTGCGAAGGAAAGGTATACAGAAAGGGGGCCAATTTTGTGGTTTCAGAGGAGAGTAGAAAGGAACTTTGTACATTTTATACGAGTTCAAAAGGTCCAGGAAGAAAAGATGGAACAAAATCAAATTTAAAAAAAGGTCTACAAAGTAGTGGAGAGGGAAAAAAGGGGGCCTATAGAAAGAAAAAAAGAAGTAGAAAATATCCTAAAATACGATTGTGTCCATGAGTGTAGTTAAAAGGAGGAAAATTTGTCTTCATTTACAATAAATAGTGTCTCACAAGTGTGTGTGTGTGTGTGTGGTGAGTGTGTTTGGTAATGATGAATAGATGTGTTACTGGGGGAGAAAAAAATATTGACGGTGTTAAATTGCTTCGTATCAAGGTATTTAGCATGAAATACAAAGTAATATGTATGCTGAGTATATGCAAAGTAATATGTATTGCATCCTGAGATATCAACAAAAGTCATCATACAAAGTATATATTAATTTAACTAAAGTAAATTGTGCTATTTTCGTTCCCAACATTTTCATACATTTTTGCAAAAAACAGCAGCAGACAAACAAGATAGAACCACAACCACAATACAATACCATACAATACAAGACCACAACCGTACACACAAAAAAAAAAAAAAAAAAAATCTATATATATATATGTGTGTGTGTATGTAAATTAATGAGTAATGTATTAAAACACAAAATTAAACATAGTATTTATTAATTTATATATCATAATTATTACAAGATTTATATTTGCTATCATAATGATTACTACTTAATTAATTAATTACACAATTAATTACTTAATTAATTACACAATGAGGGACATCGTTGTTTATATAAGCTCATAGTTCTAAGAATTTATTTAAGGCAGTGACGAATAATCCATCCGTTACATATGGACATTTAACAGATAGCAAGGAACAGTATGAGAAAAAATCGGTGAGGTATAATATTATTTAAAGGCAAAAAATATTTAAGCGATCTAAAAAAAAAAAGAATCCAGAGGATCCGAGAGGAAATAGCGCGATGCCGTGAGTCCCCTATTTCCCTCTCACGAGATTCCTCAAGCAAGATAAGGGGGGCTTTGTAAGTGACGACAGACATGAACTGATAACATTGGCGTCTGTTCGGAATTGTTTAACAAAGGAAGCCACAGGCAATAAGCAATTTCAAGTATTTTTTAATGCTAAAAACTGATTAAAAGTTAAAATTTATTGATTTAAACGCACATATTTATAGAAATTTGATTGAGTTTAGATGAAAGAAGGGTACTTATAAAGATCAGTTGAAGTTGCATATAAGGGCTAAATACAGTTGCAGTTACATATAAGTATCAATTATAGTACCAATTATAACTATACAAGGACCAGACCAAAATGTTGCCAAATGGTTGCCAAGTTTGGAGACTTTTGGAGATTTCTTGCCAAATTTGGTGACAAAAATTAGTCGATTAAATCATCACCAGATTGAAGATATCTTGGCAATTTAGCGAGATAGCCATTTACCTCAAAGTTAAACAAACTTGCCCCTGTAACCTTATTTTTCTGGAAGAACTTCACTTTTTCAAGTTTGTTATGTTACATTATATAAAAAAATTACAATTTCACTAAAATTATTGACATATACACAAAATTTGTAACAATACTTTGTGCATTCATTCTAACATCCCATTTCCAAACAACATCCTTTATCAGCAATTTCTTATCAGAAAATGTTTCTCAAATAAAATAACTTTATACTGCAATCAGTGGCGTAGCGAGGGGGGGCAAGGGGGTATATGATGCCCCGGGCGTCGCTCGCAAAGGGGTGCCAAATGGTCTCCAAATAAAATTTTCATCATATCACTGTTTTTTTTGGGGGGGGGCAAAAAGGTATTTTGACCCGGGCACCAGTTATGCTCGCTACTCCACCGACTGCAATCAAACCCTGCTATAATGAATTCATTTTGGTCCTGTCCAGTTTCCAATAATGTTATTTTATAAGGCTGTAATAAACATCCAAATGTATAAAAATAGGATATTACAAACTTTCTGCAGCTTTCAACTGAAAAACAACTGACCCTTAAATTCCTAATGTTTAGTATATTAGAATAATGAAAAACATTTTTAGGTTACCGTTCTTTAATATTTATCCCCCTTGATTTGTATTCTAAACAAAAGACTATATGAGGCAGGCATACCACTCAGTTCTTGAAAAACCAGGTTACATATCTTATGAGATACTACTGTATCATGCAGAGCCAAGAAAAATGGATCTATTGAGACAAAAAACTTAAACTGATTTCTTTGATTCAATTCAAGTTTGTTGGTTGAGCTGTTACATAGCACTCTGTTCAAGGCTATGCTTATTCATAATCGTAAATGCATATTTTAAATTTAAATGTGTAACTGGAGGGAGGAGACTAAACTGACTTTTATGCAAAGTATTTATTATGTAGAATTATTAATGTATGGTTACACTGAAAAACAACAAAAATCAAATTCAGTAATTGCATATAATAATCGTAATTAATTTTTAATATGTTTCTTAAAATTAGAGTTATTATTAATTTCTTTTGGGAGATATAACTTTCTTTCAGTTAGATTCATAATTCAATTTTTACACTATTTTGTGAGATGCCCAATTTTTCCTTTATCAGAACAGTTAAAACAAACTTCTTCAGTCTCTTGATAATTATTATAGCATGCTTCAACTGCATTTAAAAACTAATAAATTAATTCCTGTTTATATCAAATTTAATCAAATTCTTCTTGCAATTTCTTTTTTAATACTATAAAGTTTTTTCCCTTTCCATTTACTTAATTTAGGAATAAAATAATTAGAAGAATATTTCAAAACACATTGGACATAAATAATATGGCATGCTAATATTTATTCAAAATTTATAAATTTAACGAAAAAATGTACTCAGCAAAGCATTTAAAAATGAAATGAACATGCTTACTTTGTCATGAGGATCTTTCACTCTTAGAAGTATGTCTAATGAACGCTTTGATTGAACAGCCAAATAATAATCCAAAAGTATATATAAAAACCTGGAATCCTTGGCTTTAAAAAAAAAAAAATAATATATATATATATATATATGTATATATATTGTTTGCATTTTTAAATACTCTTCATTTTTTAAAATAATTAATTAAAGGTAAGACAGTTTTTACACTCAGAACAAATATTTTTGATTAAATTAAAAAACAGAATAAGTGTTTATTACTAAAAAAATTACAATTTTTAGTTATGAAATTGAAAATAACAGAATGAAATGCAATCATTTAAAAATGTTAATATATTTGATTAATGGGGGTACTACTATATGCCAAATATAAATGCTGGTGTAAAATCTAACTGGAGACAGGAATTGCAACCCTAACAATATGTACAATTTAATAAAATTAATATTACTTTAAAATTATATTACTTAATTAAATAAAAAATAATTTATTTAAAAAATAAGGCTACTTTATTAAATACAAAATAAGTTTAAACTAAGATAGAACTTCATAAGAATGTGTGTAATTATTTCAATCAACAGTTGTACAGTGATTTATTTTTAGTTTCAGTTGATAAAATTCTACTAGCATAAACTTTTGATAACAGAAATAAAAAGAACAGCTGTAAAAAGTGCAAGAACCTTGGAACCAGCATCTGTTAAGTAAACATTTCTTCCAGCAGCAAGATCTTTCACTGTTGCATCATATCAGTGCTTCAGCAGCTATAAAATATAATTTCATTCTGCGGTTTTTGAAAGTCTTTTGGTATGGATGACACCTTTGCATTAGGAAAATTTAATGCAGTCATTTAGCAACCACCAAATCATGTAATTCATACTATTCTTTCTTCAAGGGAGAAAAATCAACACTTTTAACATAAATGCAACTGGAAATCTCACAGGCAAATTACTAGATTGATATTCATTCTTCCCACTTATTTGCAATAAAATCATTATGTAGCTAGAAATAAAATGTTCCAAGTTGGCATTCTAAAATTAATTGAGCATAAGTAAGAGCTTTCACATGTGATTTGTCTGTTTTGTCAGTTGGAGCTGGATATGGTACAGTCAAAAGTCGTTAATTCGGACACCCATAATCCGGAATGATCTATAATCCGGACCTCAAAGCTAAAAACTTTCTGCGCATGCGCCGAGTTGACATAAGCGTTTACGCGTGCGCGTAAGACCTCATACAACTGCGCATTTGCGTGTGCGCAAGCACAGAATACGTTTTCGCGTGCGCGTTTTATGTATAACGGACAGTATAAGTTAAAATTATCTAATTATCTATTTCAGTTAATGTTGATGATTTGCGTTGTTCCTTAATTTTTGAATTAATTGGATCTGGCTTATTATTTTTTTGCAAACTGTTAAGAGTAATACTTATAAAAAGTAAGCTTGAACTTTCGGATTATGTCAAAAAAGAGTTTCAGATCCTGGAGCTGCCCAAAGGATCGTACGAAGCAAAAGCATGTTTCAATGTCATCAAACAAAAAGTGGAATTGCTGCAAAAAATGGATAAAGAGCATGAAGAATGTGACAGAGAGGTTAGTAAAAACGAAAAAATTTCGATTGACAAGTTAGTCAGATATTCTCGGCCACAGCAATTAACAGGACTTGAAACAGCGGAGCTTTGTAACTGAACAAGAAATGATGTATGTTTATAGAATTAAAGAGAAAGTATTATCACATAAAACGAAGCAACTTAAACAACTTACATTGAAAGAAATGAAATGTTTAATAAAGTAAACAAATAAATATTAAGCTTTTTTTTTTTTGTAAATTTTGATACCCTTTAGATCATAATTATTCTTTATTTCATAAATACGGTTTCATATTTTTAATTTTAGAATTTCTGCATGCCATCTTACGCAATTTAAACTGATGATCTATAATCCGGAAAAAATCGATAATCCGGAATTGCCGAAGTCCCGACGATCCGGATTAACAACTTTTGACTGTATTCCAAAAATGTATACGGTCAAAAGTCTTTAATCCGGACTCATCGGGACTTTGGCGATTCCGAATTATTGGTTTTTTCGTATTATAAATCATCAATTTAAATCTGGTAAGATGGCATGCAGAAATTATAAAGTTAAAAATATGAAACTGTAATTTATGAAATAGAGAACAATTATGATCTAAGGGTATCAAAATTACACACACACCAAAAAAAAAAAAAAAAAAAACAAAAAAAAAAAAAAAAAAAAAAAAAAAAAAACTTAATATTTATTTGTTTACTTTGTTTGCTGACAGATCAACATTTCTTTCAACGCACGTATACTAGTATACATACGCATAGTCGAAATTCGAAAATTGCAACCAGAAAACTATTTGATTGTATTTGTGATATTTATAATGACGAGGAATTTGATTTAAATCCTATCAAAGACGGAGTACTCGAATGAAATACTACATTTAGTAGGACTTATAAGCAGAATAAAAATAAAAACCTCTGCCCTGAGATAGGATATGCTGACAGATCAACTTCCATTCATTGCACGCTATGACGTCCCCTTCTCCCTCGCAGAGCAGCGTGAAATGATAAACAGATTTCGGAATGGTTAGAGAAACAAAGGATATGCCTTTATCCATTTTTTGCAGCAATTCCACTTTTTGTTTGATGGACATCGAACATGCTTTCGCTTTGTAGATCCTTTGACAACTCCTGAATCAGAAATTCTTTTTGACATAATCGAAAGTTCAAGCTTACTTTTAAAAATTGCTCTAACAGTCTGCAAAAAATAATAAGCTGGATCCAATTAGAAGATTGAGGAACAACACAATCTGCAACATTAACTGAAATAGATAATTAGGTAATTTTAGCTTAGCTTATATCGTCTGTTATACATTAAACGCGCATGCGTAAACATATTATGCGCATGAGTAAACGCATTGCGTGCGCAGAAAGATTTTTAGCTTTGAGGTCCGGATTATAGATCATTTCGGATTAAAGACTTTTGACTGTATTTCATTGATGGGTTGGCATTTCCATGTACTAGTGGGCAGAAAGTTTGTAAATATCTTTTTATGCTTGGCTATTTTTGCTGAAATATCTTAGATGTTGAAGAGATACACTGGGTTTCTTCATTTGTTTCTTCATTGCAGACTGAGAAAGTATACACTCCTTGAAGTATCTGTTGTAGTGGCAACTTATTTGCCTGCTCTTGATTGATGCACAGAATTATCAGATCGTACGGGAATGTTCCACTGAATTTATCTCTATTAAATTTTTGCATCATAAGCAACTTTACTTTTTGAGAAATAACTGCATAAGCTTGTCTTGTCTTCACAAGTTTTTTCACAAAATCAGAAGTGTATCTATCGTTTGTTAAAATTTATAGGATGTATACATATTTATTTTCATAAAATGTGAGTATGGAATAGAAATCTTAAATAAAAATAAAAAGCAGCTCTTTTATGAGAATAAAATGAGAAAAAAATTATATCAAATTATAGCTGGATTTCCAACTAGTTTATGATAAACTATGAAGAAATCTGCCATTTCTTAAAATCAAGAATTGGATGCTATTGTTAACTTTTTTATTGATCATAAATGTAGGTTCCTGAAGTTTTCAGAAATAAATGAAAACAATGCTTTAAATTGATCATTTAAATGTTTCCAAAGGATAAAGATATCATCAATGCACCTCTTTCAAGAAATGGATTTTGGGGAGAACTAAGTGACAAAAAAATTTTCCACTGGTCCATATAAAATTCAGAAAATAAAAGACACTGATGCTTCCATAAAGGTTTGCCTTTTGGCAATTATATTAAACTTGCTTAATTAAATGAAAAAAAAAAAAAAAAAAGCTACATTTGAATATCCTATTGACAAAAATTTTAAAGTTATGCTAAGCAAAGGCTGATATATTCTTAAAAACTGAGTAAACTACACAAGGCTAAAAATACAAACAACATCTACTCTAAAAAGAGATAAAAGGAAAATATTGTTATTAATAAAGATTATTCCTTGAAAAGCTTGAAAATTAAAGATAATAATTCCCAGTGATTTAGCAATTAAGTGCATAGAAAAAATATAAATATAAAGCTAACTCCACACAAATATTGGCTTGGGAAGGATTAATTTACACAATTATGTAACACAGAATCCTGATTTAAATTATTTATTATCCTAAATTATATATTATTATATGACCAGAAAATGTGTAACATCAATTACTCCAACTATGCCTAATCAAACATTTAGCAATGTAAATAGGACAGTAATTTATATAAACTGTTAAGTCAAATCAAATTTCCATACTTCCTGAAAGGTTTTCATGAATCATATTTTTTACACTCTCAACTGCTTCAGGATCAGATGATTCCAGCAAATTGAAGAGATCATGTACTTCATCTTGATGTCCATGACCAGATTTGTCTACTCTTTCCTTACGTTGGTACATCTAATCAAATGAAATCATATTTAATTAATGGAATAAATTCTTCAAAATAATTCCAACAGTATAATTTAAAATGATGTTTTTAAAATCATAAAAACTACATTATCAAAAATAAACACTACTCGACATTGAAAATGCAACACTAAGAAGGAGTGGTCAGAAATTTATGCAAATTTTAGAGTAGATGCATGTCACTGAGTTATGCAAATGATGTGAAATGCGCAGCTCTCCGACGCACGTGAAGTACGAATAAGGGAAGGAACGTGCAGCAGAATGGGCAAATTTTGGTCGCTATTTCTGCCAGACGAATTATCGAAGAAAGTGGGCTTTTGTCCCAGAGGATATGTGTAATAGGAGAGAATGCCAGGCTGCCATCAACGAAGGCACTTCCAGCAGATAGGCAATCTTATGAGGGGTATGGTGATCGGACTGAGAAGGGCGGGTTGGTCCTTATGTCAAATCGTAGCTGATACCCACATGGATGCGAGCACGGTGCATCAGCTATAGTGAATGTGGTTGGAACAAGGAAATGTGGAAAGAAGGAGGGGTGCAGGTGCAGCCAGGGTGACGTCAGCACGCGTGGACCGACGCATCCGCCAACAAGCTGTGGCGGTCCTGCAAGTCACCTGTACCGCGATTCTGCAGCACACGCAAGACACCTTGGATATTCCCATGTAAAAAATATGACCAGAACCATTTCCTGTCGATTGATTGAGTGTGGCCTGCACCTCCCAGCATTCGTTAAGAAGACTGCCATTGACCCCACAGCATAGACGGCAACATTTAGAATGGTGCTGGACTGGAGTGATGTGGATGACAGAATGGCGAAACGTCATGTTCTCAGATGAGTCACGCTTCTATTTATGCAGTGACAGTGGCCGCCACATACATGTGTGGCGTCAATGTGGAAACAGACCTAATCCAGCAGTAACTGTGGAACGCCCCACCGCGGGACAATGTGGCATAATGGTTTGAGGCGCTATTATCCACAATTCCAAGTCACCTCTAGATCGTATTCAGAGCCCTATGACAGCAAAACGATAGTTGGATAATGTACTGTGGCCGGTGGCAATCCCCTACCTTCAGGTGCTGCCTAATGCAATTTTTTCAGCAGGATAATGAACGAGCACACAGTGCTCACATCTGCCAACATTCTGTGCAAGGTATACATATGCTTCCCTGGCCACTATACTCTCCTGACCTGTCACCAATCGAACATGTGCAGGATGTGATTCGACGCCGTTTGCAGACTCCGCTTCTGCCTCCTTCAGGAGACAAACTGTGGCAAATGGTTGAAAGGGAATGGAGAGCCATCTCTCAGGACCATCTGCACTCTTATTGACTCTATGCCCAGACGTGTTTCTTCGTGCATCACTGTCCGCGTTGGTCCTACATCCTACTGAGCCGACGCCGTTTTCGCTCTGTATTCTGACTATCATTTTGAAATAAAGATCACTTATTGCTGCTTGCTGTCTCTGTCTTTTTTCCAAATTTCATCACTTTCTGACTACTACTTCTTGTGTTGCATTTTCAATGTCGAGCAGAGTATTCTTACTAAATAGCAAGAGCAATTTTTTGGCCAGTTTTGATAAACTCATATATGCAAGGGTGATATGTAAAAATCCCACAGTTCGGATACTCTGAAAAATTTCATAACCTATGTCGTTCTTTGAATAGCCATTAAAGGAACTGGGGGGAAATCTGTGGTGATGGCGATAAGGAGCGCGCCTTGCGCCCTCCGATAAGTGTGGCAACCCTAGAGGAGAAGTTTCTTACGAGTAGCGAGCAGAGCGAAACAGGCAGGCTGTCGGGGAGTATGCGCGAAGTTCCTAAATAAAGCTTAATTTTTTTTATTGTGCACTATGTCTTGTTAATATTTATATTAATGCATAATCTGTGATATGGAATTCGAGGATTGGTGGTAAAAACATAACAGGAAATTTCCATAATGGTAACCTGGACTGTGTTAAATCGTATGAACAGTTCTCAAGCACTTTCGGTTTTGACTACAAGCCATCACTCAAGATCTCCAAACCAGAAGTAATGGATTACATCGGTTTTCGTCCTCCGGATCACAGATGAGTAGTAATTATAGATCATTTTATAATTCTGTTTTCTACTTATCATTTAATTTCATTTTCTTTAGTTAAATTTTTGCTTTTATTTTTGGCTTAAAAACCTTGCACAATGTCTGATGTTCATGCCGTCCAAATTCCGGTTTATAACCGAATCAGACCCATCTTTATGGTTTATTATGTGTGAAAGTACCTTTGCTCTTGCCACCCCCAAACCTATCACAGAATCCATTACTAAATATAATTATGTAGTTGCTCATCTTCCTCCAGATATTGCATCAATAGTACGGGATTTACTTATGAAACCAGACCCTATTGATCCATATACAAAGCTCAAAACTGAGTTAATAAATCGTTCAGGAGAATCTTCTCAGCAAGAAATTCGCCAATTATTATCTGGAGAAGAATTAGGTTCTCGAAAACCTTCCGATTTGCTTAGAAATATGAAACGTCGAGCAGAATCTTTAAATGTTCCTGATAACTTAATGTTAGAATTATTCCTTCAACGTTTGCCTTCGACTGTTCAGTCTATTTTGGCAGCGGTTTCCAATTTAACTGTAGATAAAGCTGCAGAAATTGCCGACAGAATTTTAGAAGTAAGTAAATCCAACCCCAGGGACTTGTGCCGTTTCTCTCGCACAGTCGATCAGTCTCTTGAGGATAAATTATTTAAACAAATAGAAAAATTAAACAAACGTATTGATCGCATTTCTCTTTCTCGTGGTCGCTCGCCAAATCGCGGAGATCGCAATAAGGAAAGAAGCAATTCCAAAAGGAGAGATTATTCTGTTTGCTGGTATCATAGACGTTTTGGGGGGAAAAAGTGTAGAGATGACAAATGTACAAAACCTTGTTCATGGCAGGGAAACGAAACCAGCAAAGAATAGAGGCGACTTATTCTTTGCCTCAAGTTTCACGTCGCCTGTTCGTTCGTGACCGTAGAACAAACCTTTCATTCTTGGTCGATACCGGCTCTGACGTGTCCTTACTTCCAGCAAATAATTCTCAAAAACGGAATTCGTCCCAACAAACACTTTTCGCTGCTAATTCTTCTACTATTCATGTTTATGGTCAAAAAACACTTTCTTTGGATTTCAAATTACATTTTTCTTATAGCAAATGTTAGTACACCCATTCTTGGAGCAGATTTTCTCCATTTCTTTGAATTGGTGCCTGATCTCAGAAACAAATGTCTCAAAGATTTAAAAACGCATTTTAAAAAAACCGTCGGTTGCGTGAAAAATGCAAGCATTTATTATTCAGTAAAAACTGTATTTAGTGATACACCATATCACAAAATTTTTAAAAGAATTTCCTTCAGTTACTAGATTACCCAGATCCTAACCAACCTGTTAAACACAAACACCGTTCATTATATCATAACTAAAGGTCCACCTGTGGTTGCAAAACCTCGTCGGTTAGCTCCAGATCGCTTAAAAATAGCAAAACAAGAATTTCAAACTATGATGCAATTGGGGCATTTGAGACCTTCGAGCAGCAATTATGCATCCCCACTTCACATGGTTCCAAAAAAGGGAAGTCTGGAATGGAGACCTGTAGGAGATTATCGAGCATTGAACGCTCAAACAAACAATAAAAGACAAATACCCTATTCCATGTTTAGCCGATTTTACTGCTGCATTGCACGGTACTAAAATTTTTAGTCATGTCGACCTGATTAAGGCATACCATCAAATACCAATTAACCCAGCCGACATCCACAAAACCGCCATATGCACACCATTCGGTTTATTCGAAAGTACCCGTATGCAATTCGGCTTATGCAATGCATCTGCGACTTTTCAAACGTTTTATAGATGAAGTCACGCGGGATTTAGAAGGCGTTTACGCTTTTTGTCGATGACTTGCTCATAGCCTCTAAAGATTCTGAGGAACATTGCAGGCATTTGAAAGCTTTATTTTCCAAACTTCAGGAATATGGACTTTGCATAAATGTTTCAAAATGCACCTTTGGTCAAACATCTATTGATTTCTTAGGTTTTCACCTTAGTGAAAACGGAATTGAACCTCTTCCTGACAAAGTCAAATGTATTTTAGATTTTCCTCAACCTACCACTCTCACTCAGCTTCGCCGATTTTTAGGCATGTTTAACTTTTATAGATGTTTCATACCTAAAGCAGCACATATTCTTTCTCCTTTTAATAAAATTGTTAGAAGGCTATATTAATAAAAAGAAATCTCGTTCTCGTGTTCAGGATTCATCCCCACAATTAAATTGGAACGAGAATGCTGAACAAGCCTTTATTGCTGCCAAAAATGCCATTGCTCAGGCTACCCTTTTTTTTGAGACACCCTATTCCCGGAGCCCAGCTAAGCATCTGGGTAGATGCCTCAGACGTCGCAATCGGCGGCACACTTATGCAGTTGTCTCAACAAACATGGGAACCTATAGCATTTTTCTCTATGAAACTCAGTAAAAGTCAACAGAAATGGTCCGCGTACGATAGGGAATTATTTTCTATTTATTCTGCAATTAAGAAATTCCGACACATGTTAGAGGGCAGAAAATTTTATAATTTATACGGATCAAAAACCGTTAATATACGCTTTTAAACAGAACCCTCATAAATGTTCACCTCGACAATTGCGACCATTTAGATTTTATTTCTCAGTACTCTACTGATATTAGGCATGTGCAAGGTTCAAAAAACGTCGTTGCTGACGCTCTTTCAAGAATCGAAATTGATTCCATAACAAAATCTCCATTTTTGGATTTTAAAAAATTTTCGGAAGCTCAACGGCATGATCCGGAGGTACAAGACCTTCTCAAAACAACACATCATCTTTGAAACTGGAATTTAAAACCGTGCCAATATTCTGATGGTAATATTCTTTGTGACATATCAACAGACATTCCTCGTCCATTTGTTCCGAATTCCTTTCGCAGACTCATCTTTAATCATCTG